AAAAGTTTTATAGCGTTTCACATTATAAAACAAGTAAAAAGCTATAGAAATACAAAAAGAAGAATAATCAAAAGACAATGTCTTACACAATAAGTCTAATGATTATGGTTCTAGAGCAATCGAAATTTTCAAAGTAGTTAGTGTATAGGGAAAAAACTGAATTTATATTGAAGGTGACGTGGCATGACACGTGGACTGGTCAAATGGTCAAAACATGATGATCAGTTAAGAGGCACGGGCGATATCAGATACGAGGAGAAGAAAGTTAAATAGGCACGAGATGCTATTCAAATGATACGAGTCTCGTATCTATTTAACTTAATTAAAGCCAGGAGGTCAGAAGGAATTGAAGATATGAATCTGATGGCATAAAGGAGTCTAAATTCAGTATTAAATGTCAAATACGTTAGCGAATCAGTATTGAATAGGAATGATTGTGTAACGTTTCATTTAATGTCATTTAATGCTCATAATTGCCTCTTTAAGGCTAAGGCATTATACCTTTTCCTAGAAAAATCAACTATAAAAGGAGGAGGTCTCAGCATTTGTAGGGATACGAAAAATCATTGAGATTACATTGAAATACAAACTTATTTACTGCTTTATTATCCTCAAAATTTTCTTATTCTTTTCGTCTCCTGATTATCAGTAACCCGATTTTTTCTCTTAATTTCTAGTTTTAACCGAAATTCTATTTTTTGGTTAAACATACAGATAATAGCACAATCAAAATGCACTTAAAAATTCTAATAAAATCATAAATTAATTGGTGGGAATTTTAACTCGTTTGAATGAGCTTTAAACCATGTCAATAAGGTCTTGTCATGTTATTATCAAGTCAAGGCTGAAAATGTTAAAATCACGAGTTCTAGTTTAAGTTTTATGGAATTGTGGATTTATTTTTAGTCTTTTTATGTTGAAATTAAAATCTTTTTATTGATAATATGTTGTACATGATACTTCTTTCTGTCCACAATGTAATATTTAACGTGTTAGAAAGATAAGAAGTTTTTTTTCTTCAAATTCAGCGTTGCTGCTTAGATTACTGGAGTGCTAGAAGAGATAAATACATTTAATAAAAAATATAATAATTAGAGCTATTAATACCCTTTTTTGGCGAGTGCATAAATTTTTTTTGAAAACAAAGGGAGTACTAATTTAGACGTGTTATGAAACAATAAAAGAAGAAGAACAATATTGGACAGAAAAGTAGGGAAAGAGAATTCTTATTGATTTTGGAATGAATTACAATGGAATAGAACCCTCTATTTATAGGGAGATGGTGACTTAGCCACCAAGTAATAAACCCTAGAATCTCTCTAAATATAGACATTCACCATAAATAAAATTCTATTTATAACACTCCCCCTTGAATGTCTATTCAACAGATAATGTGTCTCGTTAAAATCTTAACTAAAATAAAACCCAGTGGGAAAAAAATTCTAGAAAAGGAAAAAGAGACACATATCTAATAATACGCCTTTTGGTTGCCTCGTTAAAAACCTTGCAAGGAAAACCCAGTGGGACAAAACCTTGTGAGGCAAAAAGAGTACAACGCGTATTAACTCCCCCTGATGAGAGCATCAATTCACATCCTTGAGCATTTGCATTCCAATCTTGTGCATCATCTTCAAAAGATCTTTGATAGATATTTGATAAACAAATCAGCCATATTAACTTGAATGAATATATTGCACCTTGAAATCATCATTCTTGATAGAGATGAATTGTCTTCATATGATCTTGTTGGAATCGTCAGTTCAATATCTTCACATAGAGGTGAAAACTCTTGCTATCATATTATCTGCCTATAGTTATAGCAAGATACATTTGTGCACAAATTGCACTGAGGAAGTAGTACTTCAAGATCAAGAATTCTATATGCTTTAAGCAATTTAAATCCTTCAAGGATTTTTAAGTCATATAAGCCATATAATAGACTTTAGATGCATATCAAGCTTTCATGTCATGCTAGACATATAAGATATCGAAAAACTGATTGCATATACCATTGACTTTATACTTTCAAGTGTTTGAACTACATGTTCAAAATTACATATCTTTCATATGAAACCAATTCTATTTGAATTGTGTCTCTTCTATTTGGCCAATATTTTTGTGTCTATATTCGACATACTTAAGATCCTCATCTATACTTAGCGCTAACATAGATGTCGTCGACAAACATTTTATATCAGTTTCAATATATTTTCATAATGACATAACATAGAGATCTCTTCATTCATATATTCAGGTACCTGAATCTCTCATGAGATTTTATGAAGTGTTATGTCATGTGATCTTCTAGATCACTTGCCTGCTTTATTATGATCATTTTGATCATTTGCTCATCTTCTTTATCAAGAAGTTTATTTGAAACTGATTGTCTATACGCTTTAAGCTTACCATAGACTTTGTCCTTCTAGGACTTAATAGGAGCATTTGCAATGAGAATATAGTTACTTTCTTTGGGTCAACAAATGCATCTGGCATGCTTTGCAATATATTGCAAATGAATTATCCTTTTATGAACTTCAAGTTCATATTATTTTATTCGGGGATCGAGATGTATAAATAATAATTCATTCCATGTAACTTTTTCTCAACTGTTTATCATGTCTTTCCCTCATGTTAGAAAAACTAATTTGGTACCTCAACTTTGAGAATCCACCTTTGTGCGTTATGGTGTTAATCAAAATGTACACCGCACATCAATAATAATAAGATGGAATTATTTGGTTCCTGACCCCGAACCTCTTGTGAGGGGAGAATTTAATATACTTTCGTATATAACCTATATCAAACTGATATAGATAATTTTGTTCTCATAAGCAATAGTTTAGCTATTAAGTGGAGGCACTCAATAAATCATTTTGCTAAACCAACTGTGATGTAAGCCAACTTATCAAGATGGACTTCTTGAATCGAAAATCTCGAAATTATGCTCGAAATTAAATTATTAAGAAAGTTACCTCGCAAAATACCATGTTGCGGGTCATAATAATCGCACATGTAACCATCTCATAGATGCATCTTATGTGGTATACATGGCAGGTGAATGGGTCCATATTCACCTTTGATATTTCTAGCATTCATGGGATTCAATCCCAATTTTAGTTGGTATATTAATTAATGAGAACAAGCAATATAAGAGAATTCGTAAAGAACTTTCTAGTTCTTTAATATTTATCCATGTGAATTCTCTTTTATTTTTGCACATCATACTTAAATTGACATGAGTAAACCAATTACGCCAACTAAATAAATTATCAATATTGATAAACTTCAGATTTACACCATGACGTGTACAATTATCAATAAACTCCAAGTTTATTATGATATGGCTTTTTATATCAATAAACATCTACTTTATTGTGGTATTCTTTTATTTGTGTAGTACAAACTGGAGAATAAAGCGGGTAGCTTTTCACATACATATTACCCAGCTACAAGTTGTAGTAATAGAAGATATTAAATCTTTCCTTTATTTATAGTCTCAATATAATCAATCGCTTTTGCGTTTACTTTGTAAACTGAATAAGTTTCTTTGAGACTTACTACAACACAATATCTTATTGATAATCAATTGTGTTTCTCCAAAATAGTAATAATTGGCTCTTCCACAGCTCTCAATTAATTTTGTACTACCACATATTCATCAACATCCATATGGTGAATATCTCTTTCAAGGAGAAAGTTATACTATTATGGTCATGGTCAAAATTATATGCAAGATATGTTTCTTACATTATTGTTGTCATTTAATAATCACAATTACCAAAATATTTTGGCGTACAATAGGTACGTGAGCAATGACCATTCTTGCTATAATAATGACATTGTTTTCTTATATCATCTCAAACCTCCTTTAAGAGGTGAGTGTGGTATATTCACTACCGCTGTAGCACATTCATATTCTTCCAAGAATGAATATGTATTCATAAATCAGATATTTTCACATTCACATCATGAATGGACCATAGTCATCAGTATGTGCTTTACGAAATCTTATGTCAAATCGATGACAAACATTAACTTCATAGAGTGAAGGCTTATTTTGAGAATCCTTATTATTCTCATTATCACAATGATGTAATTTCGTCTATTGCCACGTCCACATCCATTGATACCTTCACGGTAATAATTTTATCTTCTTTTAGACTTATCACATATTGCTATCACATTCTCTTAAGGGAATGAGAATGGAGCAAATTCAATGGGACGGGTTTTCACTTCTTGTGCCCACGATCGTACATGACTTTGATCATGGCAAGACATAAAAATTTTACCACTTCAGGTGGTTATAATTTCTTACAAACTCCATTAGAGTTATAATCAAACTTTATTGTCTTTGCTTGTATATAAAATCAAATTATAGAATTTCAAGAATTTAAAAGAGAAAAATAAAATAAAATACTTACCTTAAATCCAGAATTTAATCATTAAGGAAGTTCATGGAATAATTGACCATCATTATGCTCAATCCCAAAGCTTCTACTCAATTGGTTAGAGTCTCGTGCTGATAACGTGTTATGAAACAATAAAAGAAGAACAATATTAGAGAGAAAAGTAGGGAAAGAGAATTCTTATTGATTTTGGGATGAATTACAATGGAATAGAACCCTCTATTTATAGGGAGATGGTGACTTAGCCACCAAGTAATAAACCCTAGAATCTTTCTAAATATAGACATTCACCATAAATAAAATTCTATTTATAATAAGACGGGAGTAATAAATAAATACCTCCTACTCTAAAAAAGAATGGGGCAACTCATTATACTCAACTGACAACTACTTCTATTATTTAATTAAAAAATAATTAAATTAGTCAATTTTATTTATTACTAGTATTCGGTTGGCAGTGCATTATAGAATCGCTTAAATTAATGGTTTACCTAAACCTATCCAAAAGTGGATCCCACCCTCTCCGGTATTTACTGGGAGAAGGTAGGCCATCACTTCCTATATAAAGGACCCTTATATTCTCATCTTCCGCACTTCTCATTCTTCTCTCTATAATAATAATATCTCTCCTGCTTCTCCTTCTCTAAGAAGCTCTCTTTTCTCTCTCCTTTGATTCACAACAACCTTTTCAAGGTACAATTTTCTCTTTTTCTGGTTTTCTTCTTTGATTTTCTTTCTTCTTTTGTCTTCCTTTATGTATGTTGTATATCTGATTATATGTTTCAGATCTGTTAGTTTCGATCTGATCTTAGCACGGATATGGTCTGTTGTCAATTTTTTTACCTTTCGTGATTTTGTTTAATCTCTGTTTCTGTTAAATATAAATTGATCCGGTCGTTTGAAAATTACAGAATTCGCTTCTCTTTATTCTCGATGTTTTTTGTTGAGCGTTATATTTTGGCCTGTAATTAGATCTAAGTGTTAATCGATGATGTCATGTTCCTGCGTATTTTATTGATCTAGATCTAATCAAATTCATTATTATCATTCCTTGTGGTAAACTATCTTTTAGTCAATTAGTGCTTGTGTTTATTTTGTGAAAAAGCTGTTTTTTAAATTACATTATTTACCTATAACATCATCTATGAAATTGTGAGGACGAGGGATCGAATTGGTTTATGAGCCTATGTGGTATGATATATGGCTTGTGTTTTAATCTGACCTTATTTTAATATTCCTCACTTCATAAATTTTGGGTTATTACTTCATGCTGTTATGTCGATCTGATGTAAATCAATCAATTTTTATGTTCATGCACTCTCTCGAGATCTATGTGTTAAGGAATTGGTTCATGCTATGTGTTCTTATGTGTTTGGTTACCTATATTTCTAAAAATTAGTATCTCCTTTTGTCTAATGATTTTCTTTTGATTAATTATAGATGCAAATCTTTGTAAAGACCCTCACTGGCAAAACCATCACTCTCGAGGTTGAGAGTTCAGACACTATTGACAATGTTAAGGCAAAGATCCAAGATAAGGAAGGAATTCCTCCAGATCAGCAAAGGTTGATCTTTGCTGGAAAGCAGTTAGAGGATGGGCGAACTCTTGCTGACTACAATATCCAAAAGGAGTCTACCCTCCACCTTGTCCTTCGTCTGCGTGGTGGTATGCAGATCTTTGTAAAAACTTTAACAGGGAAGACTATCACTCTCGAGGTTGAGAGCTCAGACACAATTGATAATGTTAAGGCAAAGATTCAGGACAAGGAAGGCATTCCTCCGGATCAGCAAAGGTTGATCTTTGCTGGAAAGCAACTTGAGGATGGTCGTACCCTTGCTGACTACAACATCCAAAAGGAGTCCACCCTCCACCTTGTTCTCCGTTTGCGTGGTGGTATGCAGATCTTTGTAAAAACTTTGACAGGAAAGACTATTACCCTTGAGGTTGAGAGTTCCGATACAATTGACAATGTCAAAGCTAAAATCCAGGATAAAGAAGGCATTCCTCCAGATCAGCAGAGGTTGATCTTCGCTGGAAAGCAACTTGAGGATGGTCGTACCCTTGCTGACTACAATATTCAGAAGGAATCCACTCTCCATCTGGTGCTGAGGCTGAGGGGTGGTATGCAAATCTTTGTGAAAACCTTGACTGGGAAAACTATTACTCTTGAAGTTGAGAGCTCGGACACCATCGACAATGTGAAGGCAAAAATTCAAGATAAGGAAGGGATTCCACCTGACCAGCAGAGGCTTATTTTTGCTGGGAAGCAGCTTGAGGATGGAAGGACTTTAGCTGATTACAACATCCAGAAGGAATCAACCCTCCATTTGGTGCTGCGCCTGAGGGGTGGTATGCAGATCTTTGTGAAGACATTGACAGGGAAAACTATCACCCTTGAAGTTGAGAGCTCGGACACCATCGACAATGTGAAGGCTAAAATTCAAGACAAGGAAGGAATCCCACCTGACCAGCAGAGGTTGATTTTTGCAGGGAAGCAGCTTGAGGACGGGAGGACTCTTGCTGATTATAACATCCAGAAAGAGTCCACACTCCATTTGGTGCTCCGATTGAGAGGAGGGATGCAGATTTTTGTTAAGACTTTGACTGGGAAGACGATCACCCTGGAGGTTGAGAGCTCGGATACCATTGACAATGTGAAGGCAAAGATTCAGGATAAGGAGGGTATTCCACCAGACCAGCAGAGGCTGATTTTTGCTGGTAAGCAGCTGGAGGATGGTCGTACCCTTGCTGATTATAACATTCAGAAAGAATCAACTCTTCACCTGGTTCTTCGTCTCCGTGGTGGCTTTTGATAATTTATTGTTGTGGCTCTTGGAACTGTTGTCTTTCTTTAGATCCTTTGGTCGAAAAATGTTTTTAGACTGTGTGTGATCTGTTTGGACACTCGTTTCTTTAATAAATTTAGCTTCCAGTATGGCTGATTGCATCCTTAGTTTTGTGTGATGTGTTTTTTAAGTTTTATTTGCTGCTGATGAAATGGCTTTGAATCGATCTTAGATTATGGTCTTGCAACTTTATGCCATAATGGGTTCTCTAGGTCCTTCATTCAGAATCATTGATGTAGCTAGTCCTATATTGTGATAAGTCGGATAATAAACAAGTGCTTGGGTTTATCAACTAATCCTACTCTACTCGTTTGCCATTTTATAGCCCCAAATTGTATATTCGTAAGCATTTAAAATTGGTAAGTTGGTGTTAGCTTTTCTATTAACTACTGACGAAGTTACTGTTCAAATTGTTAACACGCCAAGATATCGTGGAAGTATTATATTTCTCCCACCTGACCAAAACAAAAGCTCATATATCAGTTGGACGAAACTAGTTCATTGACTCGGACAATGGCCTAATACTACCACGGCTTAGCAAGTTAGGCACGATAGTTAGGACCAGTCTACTCAATCTTCAAAGAACATTGTTTTTGACATGTCTAATTAATAGTTGGAAGTTAAGGGGCACAAAGAACATGTTTGAGCCTGGCAGTGTATCCGGTGAAGGCTCCAAATGAATATAATGACTGTCAATCCAGATAATTTGAGGGAAAACATGGATATCTCAAGACCTGAAAAAGAAAAAGTACATAGCTTGAGATTGCAATATGTTTCTCCTCTCCGTTTCATTTTATGTGATCCCATTTGATTGTATACGAAATGTAAGAAAACATGAAGAACTTTTAAATTTGTGATCTTAAATATGCCATGGCTATAAAATTGTCATAAAGTTTAAAATGAGAATTTTAAGTTGAAGGTGTTTTCAAATTTACCAAGATAGGACGAATAATAATTAAATAATTCTATTTTTTCTCCCTCAAATCGAGCATCATATACGTACTTGATTGGACGTAGTTGTAGACAATAAATTCGCGTCGATAAGATATTCGAGATATAAAAATATTGCAACAATCGTAGTATTTTATTTCAAATAATATGAGTGTTACAATCTCTATGAATCATCCGATTCTTATTTCCAATAGTCAATAAAAGAGCCTTCAAGCTTAATCTTGAATTTTATTTTATTTTAATCCAAGTGCTTGAGGTCTGATCTTGATCTTGACGTAATTTTAATCAAAGGGCTTGACCCTTGTTCTTGAATCCCTGTCCTGATCTTTAAATCCTTAGAACACTTGAATGCTCATAGTTTTTAGAGAAATATTCAGCGTCCACGAGCTCTCTCATGATTTTTGTTATAACTTCTGGTCTCTTTTCTGAGTTTGAAGACCCATATTTATAGTTGTGGAAGAGAAGAGTTGTAATGAGAACAAACTCTTTCCGACCAATCAGATCGGAGAGTGACAAGGCCGTATTTGATTGGCTAGAGCATGTCACTTGCACATGTGGCACGATTTCACTGGACTTTTAATTTGACTAGGCATGCTTTGTAATTTTGACACATGACATGATCGTATTGGCTCTTCCATTTGACTTGGCGTGCCACATCATTTGATACGTGACATCCAACTGGACCTCTAGGAAGATGACATATTGAGCCTAATAAAGTGAGCTCATCACTTGTTGCCCAATTAAATGGGCTAGCCCAGTCAGTATTTATTGGACTTAAGTAATTACTCCAACCCATAATATTTATTTGGACTAGTGTACCTTGAATTTAAAATATAGTCCAAATTATTTCACGTTTAAATTTTATATGCCTACAGTAGTTTTTGGCAGTTAAAATCGTTACAGGTTATGCTGGGAAGAAGTCATGAATGAATTCCTTTTTCAAGGTGAGCCATTCAAAACTCCTGAAAAAGTCTCACCATTGAATAATTCAAGAACCAGAGTGAAGCTTTGTCCTTGTCATAAGGACTAACACTCTACCACTAATTCTCCTTCCACACCAACTATATAATTCCCAAGCAAAAACTTCCCTCTCAATTTATCAAAAGATCAAAAAGTTATCAAAGAATATAGTATTCCTAAAAAATACAACTCATTTTCCAATCTCTCTTTCTTCCACAAGCTAAGCTAGGAGGAAAGGGGGCAAATAATTAAATCCAAATATTAGGTTACTATTTGATTTATATACGCTCTAGTTTTGGCTTTTGACAAACAATTTCAATTAAAGATGGCAAAGGAAACTAGATATATACGTTCTTGGGTGGAGGTTGCTCCTGCCCTCATAACATATCGACGAAAACCTTCACATATATCTGGATTGGAGACCATCAGAGAAGAGATCAACGAGGGGTTTGATGATGACACATAATGTATCTGCTGTGCTTTTTACAGAATGTTATTAGTTACATTATGAAAGTAACTTTTAATTAGGGTTTATGGTTTAGGGTTTAGTTGATGTGAGACTGGAGTTTTTGGTCCCAGCTGAAGAATCGGAGAATATTTTAGGTGTCGATTGGCAGCTAGAGGGATTTATGTACATTATGGTTTTTATTAGGTTTTCGTTGTTTCATATGTGCAGTGAACTAACAATGCTTTAGATTATTGATAGAGTTTGATGGTATTATTTAGAACTTAGAATCATTGCTATCAAATAATGCGATGAGGATAACATCTTGAAGTTTTTGCCACTTAATTTTAGAAACCATACAACTGGTGCGTTAGGTATAGCTAAAAATGTTTTTCTTATAAAACATGTTCTAGTTTAATTGAAAATTATTTCTCCAACGGAATTACTTTTATTTCTGTAAAAGGAAGGAATAATTTCCTTCAGCTGTGAAAGTCACTTTACAAATTTAAACTTAAAAAATGTCATTGCTATTGTTGACTAGTACAATATAGGGCAAGTTACACATTTAACCTGTCGGCCAAAAATAATTACATCCGCTAGCCAAATATATAAAAAATATACGTTGATTATTTATAACACATGTATTATATGTATATCATACATTAATATATAAAAATCTACAGACTATTATTTTGAAAGAGGCTATATTACGTAATTTCCCCCCACAATATATATAACCATCACAAATGACCTTATAAATGCAATAACCACAATAATTGTTAACGTCATATAAAATTCGGCAAAGAAATTACCAAATCCACTCGTAATTTTGAATGATGAAACAGAAGACCACTACTTCAAATATTGCCAAAGTGGGTTCACGACACCATTTCCACACTCACAAAATGAGGGTTCATGAGAGAAATACAATATATAACCGTCCAATTAATAGAGTCCACAAAAGCAGCAGTACTACTCTTACTATGATCCTTACTTGCTCTACACATGGCAACCCTATAACCACTTAAAATAGCAATACCCCCCTTTTTGTTCTTTCTAAAGTGGGGCAGACAATGTCATGATTTTGCCCAATTAACACATATTAACACCTTAACAAAATCAAATGATTGGAATATGGCGGCAGGTGACATGGCATTGTATTAGTGGTTGGTAATTACAATTGTGGGCTGAGTTGGATTGGACGGTGGTGTAAGCCACCATGAAATAAATTTGTGGTTGATCATTCATGATGTATGAAAATGGTCGGTTCACTTTAGCATTATGATTTTTTTGAATATTATAATTTGTTCGTATTAAAGTTTATATTGATAACGGGAAAAAGTCGTCTTCTTGTGACTTATAAGTCACGGGTTTAAATCCAGAAAGTAGCCATTAATGCTTGTATCATTAGGGCTGTCTACATGGCACATTTTGGGTGTGGTCCTTCTTCGGACCAGACAGAATATCCAAAAAATTGACCATATTAACCTTTACTATCTCACATAAACACTCCTAATACATATTCCAACACTATTTACTCCAAGGACAATGTAGGAAAAAAATAATTAATTCATTCTTGAAATCTGAAAAAATCACTTATTTTGGACCACAAGAAAAAGGCCAAAAAATCACTTATTTTGGACCGGAGGGAATAGTATTTATCTGCTAATGTGTAATCATGTGTTGACCCTCTCCCCCTAACAGCCTATGGCCTGTCTCCTTGTAGCTCGATGGGAGGTCAAGACTATGGTCGAAATCGCCTGTATCAAGTAATACATGTATTGTTAAGTATTGATTTGTACCTAAACTATATAATCAAGACTAAATGGAGACTATTATTAATGACAGTATGGATAATTAGCATGCCCCGCCCTAAGACCGTCTAGCTAGAGGATGAGGCAGAGGGATGATTTGAAATTTACGAGTTCAGGATTCTAGTAATTTTAAGTTATTGAGTTCTAAATTAATAATTTATATATACTTAATAAATTATTAAAGACAAATACAAAATTTGGATTAAAACTAACGAATTCCATAACCCATATTCTAGAAGTGGGGGTATGTTCACCGTGAAAGTGAAAGAGAATAGAAATACAAAAAACAAAAGCTAAGATGGGGCGGCAGGAAATGAGTTAAATTAATGCTCCACTGAAGACCAAAGCGTCTATATAAATTCCCCTCACTCTCCAGCAACTCCACCACAATCAGTTGTACATATTTTTATAACTAAAAGCTCTTAAAACCAACATTATTCAAGATTAGCATAATCTTGTTTTGGTGAGCCTAATACAGAGAAGAGAGTGTAAAATGGCCAAGGATATTGAGTATGGCACTGATCAATACGCCCCTAATAAGGACTACCAAGATCCACCTCCAGCACCACTAATTGATGCAGAGGAACTTGGAAAATGGTCATTATATAGAGCCATTATTGCTGAATTTATTGCAACTCTGTTGTTTCTCTATATCACTGTCCTCACTGTGATTGGCTACAAGAGCCAAAGCGACACTAAACATAATGGTGATGAATGTGGTGGTGTTGGCATTCTTGGCATTGCTTGGGCTTTTGGTGGCATGATTTTCGTTCTTGTTTACTGCACCGCTGGTATTTCTGGTACGTAATTTCTGTGACTATCTCAATTAAGGGTTATATAGACCATACTTTTATTTTTTTAATTGTATCTTCAATTAGTGTCACTTTGGCTTTTGTAGCACATACTCTTTTGTTAAGTAGAAGAATCTATTTTACCTTAAAAATAATTTATTTTCAGTTGAGTTCTTAAATTATTCATCACGATTTGATTTAATTACCATCAATATATCTTGATAAATGACAGATTTCTCAAAGAGCAATTGGTTTGATAGTGTTAGGTTGAAAATGTAGTCGCTAGAATATGTGTTTAGTAGTGTATGTCTCATGTTTACGAAAAAATCGATAAATAACCGAAAAACTGACATAAACCGAATCGATAAAAAACCAACTTAATTGGTTTAGTTTGGTTTCAATTTTTGGAAAACCGACTTACTTGTTTTAGTTTCTTTTTAGAGAAAAACGAATCCAAACCGAACCATGAACCCCCCTAATATCTACTATTGGTTATAATTTTAGTGAATTTTTACACATAAATTAATACTCACGTCGAAAGTAATGAGTTCAGATGAACCCGAAACCACTACTCTGCATCCGCTTCGGTGAGAGGCTTGAATCTAAGTGGTCTTGCCGGCCCTGGACTATGTTGAATTGATTGACCATGTAATTTAACAACTTAATTTGTTCGAGATAACATATTTTTATTTACTTAATTATGTCTTCGATAATGCTTTCCAAAAATTGGTTTTGGAAAAAGTTCCGTTCAAGAGATTAATGGGGTTTTTATTTTGTGTATGCAGGAGGACATATTAACCCAGCTGTGACATTTGGGCTCTTCTTGGCTAGAAAAATCTCATTGGCCAGAGCAGTTATGTATATGATAGCACAGTGTTTAGGAGCCATTTGTGGTTGTGGTTTGGTTAAGGCATTTCAGAAGGCTTACTATGTTAATTATGGTGGTGGTGCCAATGAGCTTGCACCAGGCTACAGCACTGGCACTGGATTAGCTGCTGAAATCATTGGCACTTTTGTCCTTGTTTATACTGTCTTCTCTGCCACTGACCCCAAGAGAAATGCCAGAGACTCCCATGTTCCTGTAAGTAAAATTTTGCAACAATAAATCTACTAATCTAGTTAACATTTTGCCTGTATTTTCTTGAATTGAACTTATATACATGGGCTTAAAGAAATTTTTATACTATCTGGTCATCCAAAAGATAATTACAAAGTGACTGCTCGTACCAAAAAAATAAAAAGGCACCCCGATGTACTAAGCTCTTGCTATGCGCGGGTCCGGGGAAGTGTCGGACCACAAGGGTCTGTTGTACGCAATCTTATCCAACATTTCTGCATGAGGCTGTTTCTACGGCTTGAAGCTGTAACCTCCTAGTCACATGCCAACAACTTTACCAGCTACACCAAAGTCCCCTTCTACTGCTCGCAATAAGTGGAGCCAATTATTTTTTAAAGAACAAGACAGACGACTTGCTACAAGAAGTTAAATTGCATCGATAGTTATTTACATAGTCAATGTGTGTAAGTTAAATTCTATTTTTAATGCTTCTCTTTGGTAACTTGAGTTGATGAAGTCAGTATTTGTAATCGAATAAAGGTATTGGCACCACTTCCAATTGGATTTGCTGTATTCATGGTTCACTTGGCCACAATCCCAATCACTGGAACTGGTATTAATCCAGCTAGAAGTTTTGGAGCTGCAGTCATATATGGCAAAGACAAAGCCTGGGATGACCAAGTAAGCAATTTTACCTTAACCAAAATTGCACATCCTATTGTTTTTATTCTTTTTATCCAACATATATATTGGCTAGATTATGACATTGCCTTTTTAATGTGACAGTGGATTTTCTGGGTTGGACCTTTTATTGGTGCTGCAATTGCTGCACTGTATCACCAATACATTTTGAGAGCTGGAGCAGTCAAAGCACTTGGCTCATTCAGGAGCAATGCCTAATGATAAGAATCTGCAGTTAGAGTAATTTAAACAGATGGAATGAATATTAAATGGTCAAAATTGTATAGTCGTATTGGTGGAGATGGCCTCTTCAAATTGTTCTTTTGTTTGCTTTGTGGTTAAATGTGCCAAACATTGTCATTTTGAAGCTTTTCTTCTTGTTTGGTTGCATTTCCTACGTTTTTTTCCTTTCACTTGTAAATTTCCTTCTTCTGTCTTCAATAATAATACTGGATTGAGCAAGGGCTTCTTTTATTCTACTACTAAATAAGAGGGTTTGGACAAAAAAAATTATTTGGCCACACAAATCTTTAAAATTGTCATCCTTGTTTGTTATCCAGGGATAATAATATCTGCAGCTTATGGAACTAAATATTCGAATAAAGGCTAAAAAAGAAAGAAGTCAGAAGAAAGACCTATTCTAAGCTACATTTGTTCAGAGCATTTTCATTTCAGTCTCTTCAAAGCCTAAAAAGGACAGCTCGGTCCACTAATATTCGCGGTGTTCGGGGACCATAAAGGTCTATTGTATGCAGCCTTACCCTGTATTTCTGCAAGAGGCTGTTTCCACAGCTCGAATGCGTGACCTCCTGGTCACATAACAGCAACTTTACTAGTTACTTCAAGTATCTTTAAAGCCTCATTGATTTATATCTTCTCAAAAACAGTTGGCCAAGTTTGTGTGTTTGAAATATACACTTTGTACCAACACTTTTTAGCTATAGCTACAGCATTAGAGAAAAAACTGTTAGAAGATTGCTTTTGACCTATCTTAACATCCCTCAAATCAGCAAGAATTCCAGGCCGAGTAATCTTTATGTCCTCTAATTCCATATAATTGGTACTGCTCAACATCTTGATGACTGCAGACATTTTGGGGCGGAGGCTGGCGATTTCTTGTACACAGAGTAGGCCAATCTTCAAGAATCGGACAGCTTCATCGCCATAAAATTCTCCATTTAACAAAGGGTCTACTAGCTCGAATAATTTGCCGGAATTGTACATTTCCCATGCCTGAAATAAACACACCAGTGAGATTATGCTATAGAAGGTTACTTGTCTTATTTTTCAAGTTCTAATTCCACTTATTGCCTGTAATTACCTTTCAGATGACCTGATAATACAATTTTTCTAACATTGTTAATGTATAGAAATTAAACATAACGAAATATGATTACCTTGTTAACTAGGAAATGTTCTCCTCTCTCAATGTCAAAAGCAATTACAGGGCAACCGCTGACTATTTCTAGCAATAAGACTCCAAAGCTATAAACATCTGATTTTCGAGTTAAATGTCCACTGATGGCGTATTCTGGAGAAAGATAGCCTCTTTAGGCATAAGGTAATTAAGTCAAGAAATTAACAACATGATCAACAATAAAAACTTCAATGTGGAATCCAAAATGTAGTTTGAACTTACAATGTTCCGGCAACTCGGGTAGTAACGTGGGAAGTTTTCTCTGGAAATAGCCTAGATAAACCAAAATCAGCAATTTTTGGTGTAAAATCCTGATCAAGAAGTATATTGCTGGCCTTAATATCCCTATGTACAATGTGGGGATTCACTTCTTCATGGAGATATGAAAGTCCCTTTGCTATTCCTTCTGAAATTTCTCTCCTAAGTTCCCATGTAAATTTACTTCTGTTTTGTTCTTCCCCTGCTTGTCAAAACAATCAATTTTAGCCATCTCATTGTAATAGGACTATTCCAAAATTAATATTAGAGAGATATTAAGAATGCGTTTAAGTTATATATAACATTAGCGTGAGGAATTTTTACACTATCAAATTTTGTACGGTGACAGTGTATATAACTTAAACTCTTTAAAGAATTACCTAGAAAACATTGTGCTAGACTATTGTTTTCCATGTAATCATAGACTAAGAATCTGTCGGTCCCATCTACACAATATCCTCTGAGGGTGACAAGATTTTCATGTCTAATATCAGACAATGCAGCTATTTCTGATATAAACTCCCTTTCACCTCGCATTGTTTCTAATTCAACTGATAGAACCTTTACAGCCACAAAGCTTCCATCTTCAAGCCGACCCTTTTCAAGAAAAAAACCAAATGAACATCAGCAAGGAATGCAGTCGGAAAAAAAAAAATAGCCATCCCCCTCTCCCCGAACTCCACCGCTCTAGCTGGAGTCGGCTATATGAATCCTCACTGTTCATGTTGTTTCATTTAAAACCGTTTTAATTCAAGAAACTCACCTTGTAAACAGAACCAAATCCCCCCTCTCCAATTCTACTTGAAACTCTGAATCCATGAGTTGCAGCCTTCAATTCCTTGTAAGAGAACACTGAGAACTTCTGAGCTCTTTGTTCACCTGTTAGTAGAATTCATATCCTTAAGTAATAGGAATAATATTATACGACAAAAAGGCAGCCCGGTGTATAAGGCATCCCGCTTTCATATAGGGTTCGAGGAAAGGCCGAATCCCAAGGGCAAGGGGTGTGATGCAGACAGTCTACCCTAATGCAAGAATTAGTGGCTGCTTCCACGACTCGAACTAGTGACCTATAGGTCAGACGAAAATAACTTTACCGTTGCTCCGAGGCTCCCTTCAGTAGGAATAATATTATCAAGACAGTAAAAAATGATAAGAAGTTAAAGAGGAGGATTTGAGAAGTTACGTACCATATGGGATAATTTGGTTGGTATCCATTGTACCAGATGAGGAACTAAAACAACTGGTAAATGGAAAAGGAAACTTCATAGTAACTGTTTGATGAACTCAAATATAATCTTGAATTTGGCTTACTGCAATTTAGTTTCTAGTATGCTGATATTTCCACATTAATAGGAAAGGACATGTAAAGCAAGAAGAGAAGAGGATGAAGGTAAATAGAAAGCAGCTTCATTTAATGGAGAAAATATTGTGCCCACAGATATTGACGATTTCTGATCTTTGAAATATACAGTGTTTTCTCCTTTTTAATATTCTATGTATCTTTCGGGGAGGAGTACTATTCTTCTTTTTTTGTTTTGTTTTTCCCTTTCAATAAAGCCGTCAGAATATATGAATGAGTACATCACTCGATAGATACTTTGCCACGTGGTTTATTTTAATATTTTATTGTACTGTAATGAGATTTGATTCGAAATCCACGACAAAGTTGACGTTCTGGTCAATATACTAATTAAAGTAGACTCGATACATTTTCGTTTTAGAAAACTAGACACAATTTTTAACAAACTAACAATAAAAAATTTACGTTACCGGTAATTAACAAATTATTTTGACAATCTCACAAAATATGAAAATTGTTTACCCTAAAAATTGGATAACAATTAAACTTATAATGTGGTTTTAAGGATATGTGATTTCACCTAATACCAATTGATAAATGTGAAGATTAATAATAGAAATTAACAATAGATAAAGCAAACCAGTGTTGGAACGTAATTCGGCCCTCGAGCTAGAGAGCCCACGAACTGGTCAGTGCAAAAATAGTTAAGAAATAAACAAGCTGGTGAACAAGAATATAAGCTAAAGAGAAAGTGTTATATTGCTTTGATATGCGTGAATGTAAGATGGTTACAAAATGATTAGAACCCTCTTTATATTGTAGATGAATCCTATATATGGCACAATTCTAATTATACAAGTAAATTCCATGATTAGCTAAACAACCGCCCTTGATTTGATCTGTTCCGAGATTTCCGCCATGATCTTCGACCAGTCACGGATATCTCGCCTTTCCGTTATTAAACTGTCTTTGGTCTTGCTCGATGTTTGTCTCGTTTGACCTCGGTCATTATCGGGTTCGATCTTGCTAGGTACTCGAATCCGAACTCGGTACCTTACCATTGTATCTTGGTCAGATATGCCTTGGGGCTGATCCTCGATCCATCCTCTAGTCTCGATTAATCAGTAAGATCGGGTGGGCTCGGTTTTAACTGTATACTGATAGTCCCCTCATTTTATGGAGTATGATGACAAGAAACGAATTGAGTCCTCGATCTCTACCCCGATTTGTCATGATGTCATCATCGTGACGTAAGCGACAGATGTGACCGATACGTCCCATCGGTTCAATTGTCCAAGCATTTAAGGCGCGTCAGTTGCCGGTCGGCCACTAGTAACCTTGAACCGTCGCCGTGAAACCCATAAATAGGCCCCCTTTCTACTTTTTCAAGCTTTACCTTTAATCTCTTCTGCTCTAATTTACAAAGATCTTTGCATTTTTCAAACTCTTCCTTTGCAAATCTTCAAGTTTCATTGCTAGCCCCTTCTTAAAACGCCAGTGATCCTAACCCGATTCTTCCTCGCTCTTAAAAATGCTAAGACCTCCAAAAAATGTCCCTCACACAGAAACCGCCTCTTCATCAAAGTCCGCCGGCAGCGTCGGAACATCCTCTCGCGGACTTTTTTCCAATGAAGTATGCCACTGCTGCTGATTTCAAAGTGGAGAACACATGCTCAACACCGGGCCGATGTGAACCCATGTCGAGGTACATGTGCACGATTACCGAACGCCTCCTCGAGAAGGTGAAAGAGGAGTGCAATTGGGTAGGCAAGGACGTCGTAGTGCCTAGCCCTGAAGAATCCATCACTATTTACAAGGAGGGGTATCTGACTGTCTACACCTACCCCTTCACAATAAGTCCTTTGGACCCTATCATCGTTTCCTTTGCAAGAAGTACAATGTCACTCTGGGCCAAATCCACCCTCCTATGATTCTTTGTAAGTAAGATAGAGGGGCATCCTTTTACCCTCGATCACCTCATGTGCCTCTACGGCCCTCGAGGAGGCATGATCAAACCTTATCGCCGAGCCACCAAACCCCCATTCTCAAACATAAATGAGAATCGAGATCGAGGTTATATGGGCAGGTTCGTTCGAATAAGGACTTCCGACCTAATCCCCGCCGAATATATACTGTTCCCTGAAAGGTGGAACATGAAACGTAAGTATTGCTTGGCCTTTTGAGTATCTGTCATTGTCGTTCCGCTTTCTTGCTTTCCCTCATCTAAGTTTTTTGTGTTGCAGCCAAGGCTGTTATGCCGAAAGTAATCCCCGATCTGAGGCAATGGTTCGAGGGATTAGTGTCACAAAAAACTTATTCCTAGCGTGCTTGGATGGAGTTGTCAAGGGGCCGATGGGAGGCTCACCCTGGTAATATTTTCCCCTTAGTGAGGTTTCCATTCGGACTTTGTTATTGTACTTACTCATTTTTTTCCATTTTGTAGGCCTTGGGAAGGACGTGCCAATGAGGCCCCCTCTGGTGAAGAAGAGGCACTTC